GCCTGAGAGGAGCCCTTTCCAACTACCCAACCCAAAATTGCTATTCCCTTCTCTGCCTCAGTGATTCTCACTTTCTTCATGGAACTTCTCAATCTGTAATGTTCTTGTTAATTGTTTATTTTTTTTGGCATTAGGGATTGAATCCAGGGGTGCTATACCATTAAGGTGCATCTCCAGTTCTTTTTATTTTATTATTTTTGGTACTGGAGATTGAACACAGGGGCACTCAATCACTGAGTTATATCCTCAGCCCTATTTTGTGTTTTACTTAGAGACAGGGTCTCACTGAGTTGCTTAGGGCCTCACTTTTGCCGAGACTGGCTTTGAACTCAGTATCCTCCTGCCTTAGCCACCTGAGCCGCTGGGATTTTAGGCATGCACCACAGTTGTGGCTTTTTTTATTTTTTATTTTGAGATTCGTCCTCAATAGGTTGCTGAGGCTGGCTTTGAACTCATGAGCCTCCTGCCTCAGCCTCCTGAGTTGCTGGGGTTACAGGTGTATGCTACCACACCCATTTTGTTTGCTACTCTTTTAGATTGTGAATTTTATGGATCTAAAATTTTTATGTCTGTTTGGTGCCTCTCATATTTTGCACAAAGCTAACACAAGATAGATGCATATGCCCAATAAACATTTGTTGGGTGAAGGAATGAATTACCATTGGTGATGGTAAATTTAGTTATTAACTTGACTGAATTAAGGAATATCCAGGTAGATGGTAAAGCATTATTTTAGGGTGTGTTTGTGAGGGTATTTCTTTCTTTCTTTCTTTTTCTTTTGGTACTGGGGATTGAACCCAAGGATGCTTAACCATTGAGCCAAATCCCAGCCCTTTTTATTTTTTATTTTTTGAGACAGGGTCTCACTAGGTTGCTTACAGCCTTGCTAAGTTGCTGAGGCTGGCTTTGAACTTGCAATCCTCCTGCCGCAGGCTTCTGAGCTGCTGGGATTACAGGTGTACGCCATTGCACCCTGCCCTTTTGTGAGGGTATTTCCAGAAAAAAATACATGGCATTTGAATCAATGGACTAAGGAAGACCCATCTTCATCCAATGTGGTTGTGAGGAGGCACCATCTAGTCGGCTGAAGGAAACAGGTAGAACAAAAAGGCAGAGAGGAAAGGCAAATTCTTTCTTTCAAAGGCAGAACACACTTCTTCTGTCCTTGGAAATCAGAACTTCAGGTTCTCTGGTCTTTGAACTGCAGGACTAGGAGCATCAGGTCCCTGGGTTCTTAGGCCTTTAGCCTCAGACTGAGTCACATCATTAGTTTCCTTGGTTCTGAGGCCTTCTGACTGGGATTGAGTCAGCTTCCTTGGTTCTTCATCTTGCTGATGGCAGATTATGGGATTTCTCAATCTCCATCATCATGTGAGACAATTCTCCAAATAAATCCTCACTCATATACCTATCTACATATCCTATTGGTTCTATCTCTCTGAAGAACTCTCATTTCCATGACTTTTTTTTATTTAACAGAGAGAGAGAGAGAGAGAGAGAGAGAGAGAGAGAGAGAGAGAGAGAGAATTTTTTTTTAATATTTATTTTTCAGTTTTCAGCGGACACAACATCTTTGTTTGTATGTGGTACTGAGGATCGAACCCGGGCCGCACGCATGCCAGGCGAGCGCGCTACCGCTTCAGCCACATCCCCAGCCCCAGTTCCATGACTTTTATAGCATCATGTCCACTGTGTTGCCTCACACATCCTATTTTATAAATTCTGATCCACTATGTAGGACTTCTAGTTGACACATACCTTTCAAATCGAGTTCACAGGTGTACTCATAGCCTCTTAGTCAGGGGCTGACCAGCACTAACTGGAATATTTAAGATAAAAAAAAAGTCTCTGGTAAGTTATTCTGGCCCCTAGATCTTTTTCTGTCATTATGGGGCAGGGCAGTTTTCCTGTTGTTTGTCTTCTCTTATCTCTCTTAAGGAACCCTTCTATGTGGCTTTTGTATACTTCTTTCATTTGCTTGACTTTGAATTCAAGATGCAGCCAATTCTTTCAACTTGTGACTACCTGTACTACATATGAAGTTGTGTAACTATTACCCAAGTCTTAGGTTAAAAAGCAATGTGCACTTTCCCCACACCTCCAATACTGAGCCTCACACATGCTAGGCAAGTACACCACCACTGAGCTATATACCCCCCGTCCTTTTTGAAATTTTGAGACAGGGTCTAGGTTGCCCAGTCGGACCTCCAACTTGTGATGCTCTTGTTTCAGCCTCCCAAGTAGCCAGGATTATAGGCATGCACCATTGTATACAGTACAATACACACATTTAATTGGAGATTATAGTAATGGAAAATAAGGTGTCCACATGTAGGAAAATTCATTTAATAGACAGTATGCTGGATGCCTCACATTTCTTTGGCACTGTAAACATTTCTCATGAAGTGGGGAGATGATATTCATATCTGAATCGGTGTAGTGACAGACAAAAGTAGAAACAAAAAATTAAAGTGGGTGATAAAAATAGTGGCACCACAGGAGTTCAATGAAGGTGGAGCCAGTTCTGAGGAGGGACAAACTAATATTTGCCCAATGCCTATTCTATGTTGTTTGTCACATCTTCTCATGTTAATATCCAACAGCACTGATTTCACTACTCTCCCCAAATTACCACTGAAGAAACAAGCATGGAAGGGTGAAATGACTTACTTAACTCTGCAGGGCTGGGACTCACACCCACATCTGCATGATTCTGCAGCTTCCTCCTCTCTCCACTAACTTGCTTCCTGGGGAACAGGTAAAACTTGGGCTGGAGATGGGTAGGATTGGGGTATGGGTTTAGGCACTTAGACAATTAAAGATATGGCTGAACAAAAGGATGAAAGAAGTTGTTTTGGGCAAAGGAATCCTTACAAACAGAAGCTTAGAAATGGACACGAACCTGGCGTGGTGGGGCAGTGCAGATTGCTCTGAATGTGTTTCTAATTACAACCAAACTTTACTTGCTGTTGTTTAGGTTTTATTTTCTTATTATAAATTTTGATATAAATTTAGTGACAGTAATTTAAAGATATGTAACATTTCCAAAACTTTTTTTTTTTCTTTTGTGGTACTGGGAGCCAAACCCAGCGGCGCTTTACCTGAGCTACGTCCCTTTTTACTTCTGATTTTGAGACAGGTTCTTACTAAATTCCCCAGGCTTTCCTTGAACTTGCCCTTCTCCTAATTTAGCCTCCTGAGTTGCTGGGATTACAGGTGTGCGCCACGGCTAATGTAGTTTGTTTATATCCTTAACTCTCATGAACATTTTTGTACAGATATTTTAAAATGCATCTATGTCTTTGATGATCAATATTTAACATCTTAAGCATTGTTAACTTCTTTCAGACTGATTCCAGAAGTCTTCACAGCAGGTAATCTGAGGCCAATCTAGAAAGATATTAATGGCGACCCTCTTGAGTCAACTCAGCTCAGCCTTCTGTGGTGCTTGTGTGACTAGCACTGATGTTCACATTACCGTCTTTCCCACTGGAGATTCAAGACTGCTCAAGGAATGGCAGTCTCCTGCCCATTTGGTAAGTAGCCTTTTTCCTATTTTATCTCACTCCTCTTTTCTGAGCAGTGACCCAGATGCATTCAGCTGCAAGAGGCTTGGCTGGGCTTTGCAGACAGATCTTCCTTCATCTTGGACTTACAGAAAAGGCTATCACCATAGTAGAAAAAGTAAGAAGTACAAGCTGCCTAAAAATAGAGTAGATAATGGAAAAATCATGTAATTGATCTTATTCAAACCTAATAGCAACCAAAATTGCCTAATTTACCCCAAGATACAAGAAAATCTGTTCTTTTTTGGATCCTGCCCCATAACTGCAGTGTACTTCTCTCACCACTAGAGGGCAATCCCGTTTTAAAGCAGATTTCAAAGGCAAGCAGTAATGGTGTTGCAAATAAAAAATGAACGTTCACCCTAAAAGTAGGGACTAAAAGGTCTTAAGATACGTGGAAAATCAGGAAATTCCAGACATTACTCGTGGGAGTGGAAGTTGATATTACCATTATGAAGAGAAATTTGGCAGTAATGTTCAAGCTGTCACCGAGCAAAGACATGTCCAGGTCTGATCATTTGACAATGACGACAGCTGACATTTTGTTCCTGCTCTGTAGCAGGCACTGTTCTAAGTGGTTGGCTCATTTAATTCTCACAACTCTAAGGATTATTATTCCCTCTTGTTATGATTTAGATTGTGTGTCCTGCAAAAGCTCACAAGTGAAACAATGCAAGAAAATTGAGGTGAGATGATTGGATTAGGAAAGCTGTGACCTAATCAGATTAATGGGTGTAACTGTGGGCAGTTGGGTGTTGGGAGGAGGCAGGTCCTGGGGGAGTGCCTTTGGGGTTTATATTTTGTCCCTGATGAGTAGAGCTCTGCTTCCTGATTGCCACATCCTGAGCTGCTTTCCTCCGTGATACCTTTCTGCTATGATGTTCTGCCTTACCTTAGGCCCAGAGCAATGGAGACAGCTGTGAACTGAGACCTCTGAAATTGTGAGCCCCAAATAAACTTTTCTTCCTCTAAATTGTTCTTGTCAGGTCAGTGAAATAGCTGACTAAAATACCCCTGAATTTACAAATGAAAAAATTAGGTCAGGAGGTCAGGTAACAGAAGGTCACAGAACTAGTAAATGGCAAAGCCATGATTCACACCCTGCTTTCCACTCTAATTGCATATGCCTTGTATGTATGTACTGGGACACACATGCAAAGGTGTTCACTGCAGTATTGTCCATAGTACCAAAACATTGTCAGCCTTACAGACCATTAGTATTACAATAAAAAATGAGGAAATATTAGAGAGCAGCTAAAGCCCAAGCACTAGATCTAGAAGTGGTCAACCTGGACAGATCTCAGAAAGAAATGTTGAGAGTGGTGGGTTAATCTTAGTGGTAGAAAGCTTGTTCACTATGTATAAGGCCTGGGTTTGATACCCAGCACTGTGGGGGGAGGAGTCAAGACAAACCAAGTAAAAATTACAAAAGCATAGAAAGTAGGACTATATTACTCATGGAGACCATACATATAATAAAACTATAAAAAGGATACACTGGAAAGATACATACCAAATTTATGATGTTTGTCCCAAGGGAGAGGGAAATGGGATTAGGGAAACAAACACAAGGGCTTTATCTGTAATGTTCTATTTACTTTCTTTCTCTTTCTTTTAATCAAAAAAGAAAGACTAAAACCCTAACCCAGAACATCATTTTGATTAGTTTTTTCACAACTGCATTACTCAAACCTGAAAACTGTTAGTGTCAAGGTGACATACAAGCTTTTTGTTCAATAATGAGCATCTCCCCAAAGAGATTCTCTCAAGCTCCCTTCTATTTAAGAGGATCAGCTGGTTAGACATCCAGGAGCAGCAAATTTGTGCTTAACTTTTAGGCCTGTGGGACTAGAAGGAAGAGTCAGTTCTGCCTTTTATTTAGCAAATGTTTAAATAATGTTTTTCTTCAGGTATCAGCTCAAAACACCTGAAGTGCTTCTTTATATAAGTTCCCACTATTCCCTTGTTTCACGTTTCTGTGGGGGTAGGGAGGGAGGGTATAGGGCAGGTTATAATCAAATGTCTAATTGTTCAGGTGGAAAGCTGCAGTGATTTAAACAAATTACCCGTCTCCAGCTCCTTTTAAAGTCAGCAGGCAAATTGGTTACCTAGAAACACTGACTTGTGACAAACCCTCTTCCTGTATTTACCAGGGTCAACACATATGAAAAACCAGAGGTCATATGTTGACAAGTTTTCCTGGAATTGTAATAGAATTATAGGGGTTAATGTTCTCAGATTGTCATGGTCTAATGGCTCTGAGGAACAGACCATGTTTCAAGGGGGGAAAAAGCCATTCTTATATTTTTAAATTGAAATTGTTTTTAAGTACCACTTTGAAGCTTTTGTCAGCTGCTGAATATATTAAGAAAGAGCAAAATTACATCAGAAAAGGGAATATAGTTAGTTTTGAATCTAATACATTTTTTGTAAAAGTAAAAACTACAAGGTTATGTCCTGAACTTCTGTGAGGAAGCCTCCTAAAGAGCAATATTTATCTCTTTTAAAAAATGTTTTAATAATGCTTAATTAGAAAATCTCTCCTTATTGTGCAACCTCAGTTTCATTTCACAGAATTTTAATATGCTGTGCATCACTTAGGAGAAAAGGTAGTATCCAAAAATCAATAAGTTACATATTAATTCTTGAAAAATTGTGACTCAATTCAGAAATTCAGATTTGGCTTTCTCCTGTCTTAGTAGTGATAACTTTTTAAAAAAATTTTAAATAAAGAAATAGGGTCTCATTATGTTGTCCAGGATGATCCTGAACTCCTAGGCTCAGGTAACCCTCTTGCTTCAGTCTCCTGCACCATGTCTAGGGCAATAACTTTTTTGTTTTTTTTTGATGGTACTGAAGATTGGACCCTAGGGGCACTTTATCACTGATATAGTCATAGTCCTTTTTTATTTTCAGACAGGGTCTTGCTAAGTTACTGAGATTGGCCTTGAGCTTGCAATTCTCCTGCCTCAGCCTTCTAAGTCACTGGGATTACATGTGTGTTCCACCACACCCAGATGGTTAGTTCAACTTTTAACAGTTTCACTTGATTTTTAACTTTGAAAATTATTTGCTACAGGAATATATGCAGTATGGGAATCCATCCTCCATACTCCACATTAATACCGAAGTGTACAGAGCAAGTATAAAGGTCTCCCACAACCCTCCTCTTTCCTACCTGTACTGTATTCTCTAACAGGTGACTATGGTTGAGAGCTTGCTGAGAACACCATATTCTGTGCGTTTATGTAGAACCAAGTAAGCTACTGGGTTGGTAACAAAACTGAATTTAAAAACAAAGTCCAAACTGGGTGCAGTGGCACATACCTGTAACACTAGCAACTCAGGAGGCTGAGCAAGAGGTTCACAAATTCAAGGCCAGCCTTAGCAACTTAATGAGAACCTGTTTCAAAAAATAAAAAGGGGACACTGGGATTGTGGCTCAGCGGTGGAGCGCTTGCTTTGCACGTCTGAGGCACTGGGTTCGATCCTCAGCACCACATAAAAATAATAAAGATATTTAAAAAAAGAGAAATTAAACAGAAGAGAAATAGTTTAAAAAAATAAAAATAAATTAAAAGGGCTGGGTACGGTGGCACACGCCTATAATCTCACTAGTTCAGGAGGCTGAGACAGGAGATCATCAGTTCAAAGCCAGCCTCAGCAATAACAAGGTGCTAAGCAACTCAGTGAGAACCTGTCTCTAAATAAAATACAAAATAAGGCTGGGGATATGGCTCGGTGGTTGAGTGTCCCTGAGTTCAATCTCCAGCACACACACACACACAAAAAAAAAAAAAAAAAAAGAAAGAAAGAAAGAAAAAAAAAAAAAAAGATTAAAAAGGGCTGGGGTTGTGGCTCAGTGGTAAAGAACCTTTGGGTTAAACCCAAACAAAATCCACAAAGTCCTGGGCATGTAGCTCAGTAGTATAGCACATGCCTAGCATGTACAAGGACCTGGGTTTGATCCCCAGCACCAGAGAAAGTAAATAAAATTTATAGAGCCTATTATTTTAAGTCATCAACTGTAACTTAAATGCTACCAGACTTACTTCATAAAACAGAAGAACTTCTCCCAGGGCAATAACAGGTATTTATTTAACTTTCTCAAACCCAAGAACAACTTATTACTTATCAAACATAGAAAAAACTTAATGGATTTTGTTAGTGTTCCCATAGCTACAAAGTTCTAAATAAAAATTTTATGCACAGCATCAGCTGACTGACACTAGAAGCAGTTACTAAACACATACAGTGACAATTTCCACATGTCTGGCTACTTCTAGGGGTTATGTGGTATGCCATACTGTCAATGAATTGGTAAGTGTGCTCCATCTTTACAGATAGCAATGCTTACTCCAGGTTAAATAATCACATGTGTATGCAGTTAGTGTTCAATATAAGTTTTTCCCCTTAAATGAAATATATAGAGAACCCCAATATGTAAAAGCAAGTTTTAGGAAATTGCATTGGCAGTGGTGACTGGCTAATATATATCCTCATTCTACATACATGCTGGGGAAATTACAGGTTACAGGAATATATGCAGTATGGGGATGGGGGGAGAACACACACAAATACAGAATTGTACAGAACAAGTATAAAGGTCTCTCTCAACCTTTACACCCCTGGGGATATGCCCCTTCTCTCCCTGTGAACCTTGGGGAAATGCTTAGCACATCAAGCCTCAATGCCTTCCAATCTCAATTCAAAGACTGGGCATTGTACCAGAAACACAGAAGTTCTACAAATGTGGTTACCAATCCTAATTGCCCTCTTTTCAGGTAAATAATAAGAGGCAGCATAGTTCACATGCCATTATCTAGCTCTTTAAATCTTAAATTTTTCTGGCTTTTTAGTAACAACACGTTTTCTTTCTTTTTAAAATATTTTTTTATAGTAGATGGACACAATACCTTTATTTTATTTTTATGTGGTGCTGAGGATTGAACTCAGTGCCTCACATGTGCTAGGCAATCACCCTACCAACTAAGATAGAGCTCCAGCCCAACAACACATTTTCAACAAATTAATATTTCTTCTTGTGTTCAGGCCAACAACATATTTTCAATTAATATTTCTTCTTGTGTTCATATAGGTTTTAAGATTCAGACATATCTCCTCTTTTAGAAGAGTGAATAGCAATGAATCTGTCTAAACAATGAGAAAGTACTTAATATTCCTAAAAGGTATACTATCCTGTTTTCTTTCTTTTCCAGTACTGGGGATTGAACCCAGTGGTGCTCTACCACTGAGTTACACCCCCAGCCCTTATTTTTTATTTGGAAACAAGATTTTACTGTTACCCAAGCTATCCTTGAATTTGTGATTCTCCTGCCTCTGCCTCCCAAACAGACGGGATTACAGGTCTACACCACTGTAACCAACTCTAATCTGTTTTTTGAATACGGTGGTTCTTTTTCTTTTCTGCATATTCTTCTAGCCGAAGAAGCCACTTGGTCCAATACTGGGAACAGAGCTCTGCATCCATGAAATGTGGGTGGGCAGGGGATCCATCTTTGTAAGCTACCACAATCAGGCCACGCTGAACCTAGAAAGAAGCACAGGGTGATACCAGTATTTCTACATTAGGTCCAGAATTAGGTTTATTTTCTTCTTACTCCAGGGCAAACTCAATCAGTACTAAGCATAATAATTCTAACTCAGTTTCTAAGGTGGGTTGATCAAAGACTTCACCAGGACACATGGAACTCAAAGATGACAGATAAAACACTAAAGAATGGTCTGTGATCATTAAATAACTATTTAAACAAATGCCCAGAATGAAAGGAAAAACAGTGATATTTAGGTGAGACAAGGATAAGAGACAGCAATGGGATAAAAATAGGGTAAAAACCAAAACCAGTGAAGCAGCTGTAAATAAACATTGAGCAAAGCTTTAAGTAAGTAGAGGTTCAGTGCCCTAACCTGAAAACTGTAGTTGGCATCATGGTTTATGGCACCCACATATGCCACAACTTGTAGAGGGTTGTCATATGTATTTTGGATAAAAGGCTTTGGTTTCTCTGATGTCTTCCAATCAATCACACACAACTTGCCCCTGAGGAGAAACCAAAGGAAGTCTTTGTAGGTAACAGTCCAAACTGAGAAGCTCTATTAGGTTAACTCTTCTGTACCATTTACTACTTAGTTTACCCAATGACCTCCTGTTTCTATTCACCACTTTCCAAAACTAGTTTCACTTCTTTAGGATTAGAAAGGCGCAATACAGCTGGGCACATGGTTCAGTGAAGAGCACTTTCCTAAGGTGCATGAGGTCTTGGATCCTGAGCAATATAAACAAGAACCTCAGATGTGAACTATGTGGGCAAACTGAAAAAAAAAAAAAAACAAAACAAAACAAAAAAAACCCCCAACTTTTCTGCAGTTTAAGTTTCTAAACTTTCTTTGTTTTTATTTATTTTTATGTGGTGCTGAGGATTGAACCCAGGGCCTCGCATGTGCTAGGCGAGAGCGCTCTACCTCTGAGCAACAACCCTTGCTCTAAGTTTCTAAACTTTCTTGTAATTCCTTGGACTTGTTTAATAGTTGACAGATGAATTAAAATGTGATTTTGCTTCAAAATCTTCAGAATGAAACACAATATGTCAATAGTGAAAGTCCCCATCATGAAAGATTATGTATCTTGGCACTTCAAACATTTTCTTGCTCAAAAACCAAAGCTGGGGTTCAAATTCATTAACAATCAATAGGCACTGATTCCTCTACTAAAAGTTTACATACAAGGAAGGGAGTCTGGGATATTGGGAAAATAAAAATTTCTTGCCATTTTTTTTTCTTTTGGTACCAGGGATTGAACTCAGGAGGACTTGACCACTGATCCACACCTCAGCCCTATTTTGTATTTTATTTAGAGAGAGAGGGTCTCACCGAGTTGCTAAGTGCCTTGCTGTTGCTGAGGCTGGCTTTGAGCTGGCAATCCTCCTGTCTCAGCCTCCTGAGTCACTGTGTCCAGCCCGCTATTTTTTTTTTTTCAAGGGAGGTGTCAGGTAACCAGTATACCCCTCCTCACTCCCCAATCCTGGTGGGGGTCTTATTTATTTATTTATTTATTTATTTTTTGGTATTGAGGATTGAACCCAGGTATATTCACCACTGAGCCACATCCCCATTCCTTTTATTTTTTGAGACAGGGTCTTGATAAATTGCTTAGGGCCTTGCTAAATTGCTAAGGCTGGTCTCAAAATTGCTATGCTCCTTCCTGCCTCAGCCTTCCAAGTTACTGAAATTATAAGCATTCATCACTGTGCCCAGCCTGGTGGGCTCTTATATTACAATTATAGATATTAAAGGGATTGTAGTGGAGAGATATCATTGGTGCTATCTGTTCAATCTGTCTTTTAAAACTTCATTTCACAATCAGAAGTTTGGCTGGGTGCAGTGGCTCAAGCCTGTAATTCTAGTAACTTGGTAGGCTGATGAAAGAAGATTGTAAATTCAAGTTCAACCTCAGCAACTTAGTGAGACCTTGTCTCAAAATGAAAAATCAAGAGGGTTAGGGATGTGGCTCAGTGGTTAAATGCCCCTAGTTTAATCCCCAATACCAATAAATAAATAAATAAAAATAAAACCGCAGTTTGTAGAGTAATTTTATACAAAGTATGTATGTTACTTTCGTGTCAATATAACGCTAGATAACTACAACTTATGCAGGCTTATATAAATAGAACAGCACTTTCTTTCTTTCTGTTACCAGAGATTAAACCCAAGAGTGCTCAACCACTGAGCTACATTCCCAGCCCTTTTTATATTTTATTTTGAGACAGGGTTTCACTAGGTTGCTTATAGCCCTGCTAAACTGCTGAGGCTGGCTTTAAACCTGCCATCTTCCTGCTCCAGCCTCTTGAGCCGCTGAGATTATAAAGGTGTGCCACCCTGCCTAGCTAGAGTAGCACTTTCTAAAATAAAATAAAATAGGAATGGGGATATAGCTCAGTTGGTAGAGTGTTTGCCTCACATGTACAATGTTGAGAGCCACAGCCAAAGGGGCCCCAGCAAACTTCCAGCTGCCAGCAAACTTCCAGCTGCTGGCTGATGATTGGCTCACAGCGGCCCCAGCAACATCTAGCTGATTGGCTCCTCTGCGGTGATGCTCATTGGGCTGTTTCCCTGCCCTTTCAGACCACGGAGCTGCTCATTGGGGGACTTTTTTGGCTCCGCCCACGTGACCCAGCCAATCGGCCTCAAGAGCAGGAGGATTGTGGGAGGTGGAGAGAAGCTTGTGGGGGGAGAGAGAGGCTTGTGGAAAGCCGGTGGTGGCAGTTGAGGCTCTGAGGGTTTTTCCTGAGAGGCTGTTTTGTTTGGCGTGTGTGGTTCTAAAAATAAAGTTAGTTTCTTTTGACAAGTGGCTCCTGATTGTGCCCAGCCAGACTGCGGCAGTACAAGGCCCTGGGTTCAATCTCCAGCACCACTAAAAAATAAAATAAAATGTCAGATACCTGAAGTCCTAGCAACTCGGAGGTGAGGAGGGAGCAAGTAAGTTCAAGGTCAGCCTCAGCAATTCATAAGCAAGACACTATTTCAAATAAAAAACAAAAAAGAATGGGGGGATAGAGCTCAGCAGTAAAGTGCCCCTTGGGTACTGTCCCCAGCACCATTAAATAAATAAATAAATACATAAAACAAATAAGATGCAAGCCATATGTCATTTTAAACTTTCTAGTAGCTATGATTAAAAAAAGAAAAAAATAGGTATTTAGTATTTTATTTAACCCCAGATGTCTAAAATATTATCATTTCAGCATATAATTAATGTGAAAATGTTACTAATGGGGTGTTTTGCCTTGTTGTTGTTCTAAAGCATTGAAAACTAGTTTGTATATAGTCACAGCACACCTCAGTTTGTATTGCCCACTTTCAAATTCTATATAGCCATTTATGGGTAGTAACTACTCAATACAGGTCTAGAGATTTTATTGTCTTTATAGTTGTTTTGTAACATTGCCAAGTCTGAGAATCTACCTAAATGAGAAGAGAGCCCCAGTAACTCCATGAGGATGCTATTTCTAATTTTCACTTGAATAAATCAAAATGCCTCTAAAAAACAAAACAAAGAAAACTCCAACTTTCTGCCATGGACCACTGTTTATAGAAATGTACTATAATTATAGAATTTAACATTGGTTGGATATATAGCCTTAACCAAAATGCTTAGGACATTAAGTATTTAAGATTTAAGCCACAGGCACATGCCTGTAATCCCAGTGACTTGGGAAACCACAAGTTCAAAGCTAGCCTTGGAGGTAACTGGGTGAGACCATCAGCAATCTGGCGAGATCCTGTCTCAAGATAAAAAATAAGAATGGCTGGGGATGTAGCTCAGTGGTAAATTGCCCTGGGTTCAATCCCTAGTGCAAAAACAAAAATGAAAACCCAAAACTTCAGGTTTAGAATGTTTCAGATTTTAGACTATTTCACATTTCAGATGAGAGATGTTCAACCTGTAACGTGAAATATCTTAGTAGCATATCAAAGACTGTAAAACATTGATGAAAGAAGATGAAGACGACACAAATAAAATTTAAGATATCCCACATTCATGGATCGACAAAATACTATTAAAATGTCCTCACTACCTAAAGCAACATACAGATTTAATGTAATCCTTAATAAAATTCCAATGTCATATTACATAGAAATAGAAAAAAAAATCCTAAAATATTAATTTGGATCTTCAATAGCCAAAGCAATTGAGCTAAAAGGACAAAGCCAGAGCATTGCACTTTTTTTTTTGGTACCAGGTGTTGAACCCAGTGACCTTAACCACTGAGCCACATCCCTAGCCCCTTTTTTCATGTTTTATTTTGAAACAGGGTCTGGCTAAGTCCTTGGTGCCTTGTTAAATTTCTGAGGTTGGTCTTAAACTTGTAATTCTTTTGCCTCGGCCTCACAAGTTGCCTGGACTATGTAAGTGTACCACTGTGCCCAGCACCACACTTCTTGATTTCAAATTAAAAATTATATGCTGGGCATGGTGACTAACACCTGTAATTCTAAAGACTCAGGATCGGAATCAGGAGGATCTCAAATTCAAGGCCACTATCAGGAACTTAGTGAGACCCTTCTGAAAATAAAAAATAAAAAAGGTTGAGAATATAGCTCAGTGGTAATGTACCACTGGGTTCAATCCCTAGTACAAAATAAACAAATAAATAAATCAAGTTTAGTAATCAAAACAGCATGGTTCCAGCAAAAATAAGAGACACACCGACCAATGGAACAGGACAGAGCCAGAAATAAATCCATGCATTTCAGTCAATTGATTTAAAAAAGCTGCCAAGAACACAATAGGGAAAGGACAGTATCTTCAATAAATGTTTAAAAAATGGATATCCACTTGCAGAAAAACAAATCTGCATCCTTATCTCACACCAAATACAACAACTGACTGAAAATTAAACACCTAATTATAAGACCTGAAACTATAAAACTTCTAGAAGGGGAAAAGTTCTACAACATTGGTCTGGGCAATGATTTTTTAAATATAACCCCAAAAGCACAAGTAACAAAAGTAAAAATGACAACTGGGATCATATCAAATTAAAAAGCTTCTACTCAGCACAGGAAACAATATAGTGAATAGACAAACCATAGAATAGGAGAAAATATTTATAAACGATACATGTAATAAGGAGCTATTATCCAAAATATATAAGAAATTCAACTCAATAACAAGAAAACAAATAACTCCATTTAAAAATTGGGCAAAGAAGCCAGGCATGATGGTGCACGCCTCTAATCCCAGTGACTTGGGAGGCTGAGGCAGGAGAATCACAAGTTCAACGTCAGCCTCAGCAATTTAGTGAGATCCTGTTTCAAAAGAAAAAAATAAAATGGACTGGGAATGTAGCTTAGTGGTATAGCACCCTGAGTTAAACTCCCAGTACTCCCCCTGCCAAAAGAATTTTTTTTAAAAATATTTTTTAGTTGTCAATGTACCTTTATTTTGTTTATTTTTTATGTGGTGCTAAGGATTGAACCCAGTGTCTCACACATGCTAGGCAAGCACTCTACCACTGAGTCACAACCCCAAACCCTGCCAAAAGAATTAAAAAAAAATTTTTTTTTGGCGTGTGTGGTGATGCTGGAGGTTGAACCCAGGGCCTGATGCATGCATGCTAAGTATATATGCTATCACTGAGTTACATACCTAGCCCTGTCTTTTTTTTTTTTTTTTTTAAGTTAAATTTTAACTAGAGCTCTATGGGCTATACACACAGATACTGCCCCCACTCCCCATCCTGTTATCATTGCTCACATGCTTTATTTGGAATAAGGGTGCCTGCAGGTTATAGCTACTCTTGGAATCTGGACTAACTGGGAAAAAACAGTAATAGCAGCAATTTTAAAACTGCAGGAAGCTTCAGTAAGTTTAGAATTCTTCTTATCATGTCAACAACTTAACAGGAAGAAAGTTGATTTTCAGGGCCAACAGGTCATGGTACTACGTTTAGGAAAACAGGAAAAAAGAAAAAAACCCAAAATAAAAAAAATTGAGAAAAAAGGAAATGTAAGAATCAAACTGGATCTATGGCTGGTATCCTGTTTGGAGAGAGGAGAAAAAGGAAAGGCTGGAAAGCACCATGTTGGGGATACTGAAAACTAGACTTTTTTTCCCAGCAGTTTGATTATGAAATACTGATTATCAAGGACTATGCATCTTTCCTTTCTGTATCTGTTATATCTCCTTCCCTGCACCCAATACTTTCACCTATAATATAGGTTTGACTTTAAAGAGGCAATGCCACAACACCTACAGGTATCCCTTGAAGCAGGGGTAATGAAGAAAAAGTAAGCTGGGTACACGCCTAAAATCCCAGTAAGTTGGGAGCCTGAGGAAAGACTGCATGATCAAGGCCAGCCTGGGCAACTTAGCAAGATGGTCTCAAAATAAAAATGAGCTGGGAATATAGTTCAGTGGTTAAGTACCCCTGGGTTCAATGCTCAGTACCAAAAAATAAAAATAAAAAAACAGGAAAAGAAGTATCTCTTGACAGGCACCATCTGTCCTACCTGACATTCACTCACCACCACACTGTGACAGAAACAATTTCATACTTACTGATACTCAGCCACACAGTCCAGTAGACCTACATACTTTAAGGTCTCATGCTGAACAGCGCTTTCAAGAGCCCGCACTCCACTGACATCTTTCAGAATATGTTGGATGCTTTCGATGTAGCCACATTTGATGAGTTCTTCATCTCTCTCTTTTATGTTCCCCTGGGGTGAAAGTATGCTTTCCAAGGCTTCATGGAACTGTTTCCCTTGTAAAAAGATGTCTGAAAGAAAAATCAAGGAAAAAGAAGGAAAAAAAAGATACAAACAAAAACAAAGCTAATCTAAAAATCAATGCTCTAGACAACTCTGAATCATAAAACTAAAAGTCACATGAAAGTTGCCACGCATGGTGGCACAGCCCTGTAATGCCAGCGAATGGGGGAGGGCTGAGGCAGGAGGATCACAAATTGGAGGCTAGCCTCAATAACTTAGAACCTTATTCAAAATAAAAAAATAAAAATGACTGGGAATGTAGCTCAGTTGTAAAGCATCCATGATATTGGTTAAATCCCCAGTACCAAAACCCCAAATCCCAAAAAACAACAACAACAAAAACACACAATCCATAAAAGTTACCTTTAAGAGGCAACCCCAGCAGGGCACAGTGGCATAGGCCTATAATCCCAGTGACTCAGGAGGCTGAGGCAGGAGGATTACAAGTTTGAGGCCAACCTTAGACATTTAGTGAGGCCCTAAACTTAGCAAGACCTTGTCTTAAAAAAAAAAAAAATTAAAAAGGACTGGGGAAGTAGTTTAGTGAAATACTCCAGTACCAATTAAAAAAAAAAAAAAAAAAAAGAGAGAGAGAAAGGGGCAACCCCTATGATACCAAAATTTAGCTTCTGGTGGACCCTAAGAATGTGCTTTCAAAAACCAAAGGGATCAAAGGGATCAGATCTGTTTAGAAATGAAACACATTAAAATAAAATATTTCTAGTAGAATTAAGCCAAAGCTAGAACTGAAGATCTGGGGGTGGCTTGGGGGGGGGGGGCTTAAGGACCACATCTAATTTATGGTACTGTCTGTGTAAGTACCCAATTTAAAGAGTTTTAACTGGTTGTAATAAAAACCATTAGAAATTTAGGGCACTATGCTTCTGTTTAGTTCTTTTTACAACTAAAACTTAAGACAGGCATAGATTAAAAATATTTGGATGTTGTGGAATTTGGATGGGGAGGTGAGAAGAATATGTGGCATTCTTCCTCTGCACTTATTTATTTTTTTGGTACCAGAATCTGCTCTTTTTAATTCACCCCAAGCAAAGAAAGAATTTTAAACTCAGAGAACACCTTTCAGATACACACAACAATTAGTAGGAGATAATACATGCTTGGAGACAGACCCTCATAAAAGGAGAAAAACAATCTCATCCAATAGGTAAAATTAAACCATGTTAAGTTTTTCAAGTTTGTTTTGCACTACTGGGGATTGAACTTAGGGTCTCACATATGCTAGGCAAGTGCTCTATCCCAGCCCTTGTCAAGTATATTTATATGTGGTGCTGAGGATCGAACCCGGGCCACACGCATGCCAGGTGAGCGCGCTACCGCTTGAGCCACATCACCAGCCCCTCAAGTATATTTATGAAGACTTTGAAAGTTGAATTCTACCACTGGCAAAAAAAATGGCATTGCTTCTGAAATTACTTGGAGAATTAAAGATGAATTCAACTTAGTAAATAAATTATTCTATTCTACATATACTTTGCTCAATTTGGATTATTAGCCCATAGAAAGCTTACAAAAAATTTTAAGACTGATGGAATTAAAACCTAAAGAATAGAGATGTGGTATTTATCTATAGACTAGCTTAATGAATCAGAAGATAAACATGTTAAAAACAGGAAGAGGGCTAAGGGGAGTAGCTCAGTGATAGAGCGCTTGCTCAGCATATGTGAAGCAGCTGGTATTCCCCAGCAACATACATAAGAAAATGTTGCTATATCTACTGCCATGCAAACAGGCAATTCATTCTTTGCTGCAGACTTGACCTGTGGCTAGATTCTTCAATATATGTAACCTCACACAAGGAAATCTAGACTTCAGAGTCCCTTAGAGTATGCGGCTCAGAACATCAAACATGACTCAGTTTATAAATTTGGTCTGAGATGAGGTCATGAATTCAATCCCTGGCACCAGGAAAAAAAAAATAATTCAAGAATAGATTACAGGTATCATCAAGTCAGAGTATTTATTCAATAAAGGAATGCAAGTGAAATGTTTTAAGTCTCAGTACAAGTGCATTTAAAAAGAAATCATGCATCGTCAATATTCTAATGCTAGAACTGGCAAGATAGTTGATATTTTAGGATTAAAAAAAAAAATTAGCGTTGACTGGAGGGTGTAGTTGTGGTAGAGTGCTTGCCCAGAACATGTGAAGAGTACCACTAAAACAAAATAAAAACAAATGAGTGTAACAAAAATAAATAAATTGGAATAAACTTCAGCCTTTTTCATCATGATCAACACTTAAATCTGAGTGTAACAGACTTTCTCATCCTCACCCTTCTTTTAAAAAGTGAACTGATACTTGGAAATTGCTCAAATGTTTGGAAGAAGGTGAGCCTCTGGGCACATCCCTATGCTTTGGGCTTTGGATCGACTAGAGAGAATTTATCAATCCAGTAGTATTCAGATTGCCTCTCTAGACCCAGTAATCAATTTAGTAACTTTTCTCCTTCCTTCTTTTTTTCTCTTTCTTGACATGACACTAATCTGTATGTGATTGCCCCTATTTTCTTAAAGAGTGAATTGAAGGTTGATCTGGAGTTAACAGAAAAACACAGCAGAAAGCTCATCTAGATCAACAAAGTTGACCCTGAAATGCGCCCTGGGTTACAGGGGCACATTTGCAATCCAAAGAGAAATTCCTTTCCTTTACCTAGGGGGCCACCAGTGCATTTCCTTACTCTGTGCCAAGAGCTGCAGACCCTAGGCTCCCATGTGACCCAGCAGGTTTCTCCCTTTACAATTCTTAAATTACCAGTAAATTCAGATTCCTGAAAGTTGTTTAAGGAAAATCAAAACAACTCCTCATGAGGAACATAAATTCTAGTGGTACAAATACAAAACTCAGGTCATTAGAAGAGTTTTTTGGTGCTTATTTAGAAAGCGGAGAATAATTTCATGGTTATCCCTAGTTACCCATTTTAAGAAGGCAGCCCCTGAGCCTGGCATGCTGGTACATGCCTTTAATCCTAGAAACTTGGGAGGCTGAGGCAGGAGGATTACAAGTTCAAAGCCAGCTTCAGCAAAAACAAGGCGCTAAACAACTCAGTGAGACCCTGTCTCTAAATAGGGCTGGGCTGGGGATGTAGCTCAGTGGTGTACCCCTGAGTTCAATCTCCAGTTCCCCTGAAAAAAAAAAAAAGGTTGGGGATGTAGTTTAGTTGTAAAGCGCCCCTGGGTTCATGTACTGGTCATACTTAATTTTCTTTAAAATGTGTGCATGGTTACATCATCTTTTCTAAAATGCTTGAGAATAAGTACACTACTTTTACCTTTTCAGTACTAGGGACTGAACCCAGGTGTACTCCACCCCTGGGCAACATCCCCAGCCCTTTTTATTTGGAGACTTAGAGGTCTCCCTAAATACTGAGGTCAGTCTTGTGATCCTCCTTCTTCAGTTTCTTGAGTTGCTGGAATCACAAATGCCACTATGTTAGATTATAAACACCACAGTGCCCCTATGTCTAGTAAGCATACTACTTTTAAAACAAAAAGAAAAGCGCTCATGTACCACTAGAGGTATATTTACTGATCTTGAGGAAGCAAGGGCCAAGGAATGTCTATGTAAAATTTAGTTTGAACAAAACATACACACAAATCTTGCCACTGAGCTAACTCCCTAGCCCCACTTTTTAAAAATTAACTAATTATTTTTTTGGTGGTGCTGGGGATAAAAAACAGGATCTTATGCATACTTTTTTTTTTCATTTTATTTTGAGATAGGGTGTTTTATTAATTTGCTGAAGCTGGCCTTGAATTTGTAATCCTCCAGCCTCAGTTTCCGAAGTACCTGGGATCACAGTGGGTACCAAGACTGTCCTCATGGGACCAGCTAATTGGCTTAAACAAATCATTTGTTTTTGAATGGAAGCTATTCTTACCCATCTAAGAAATTTAGGACTTGAAAGCTAAAGTTAATTTACTTTTAGTTCCTAATCAAGAATATCTGAATAATGGGCCATGTGTTCTGGCTTATTGCCAGGATCTTTAAATTTACGTCAGTTTACACTTGATCTACTGAACAGGTGTTTATTTGATTCTGATGCCTACCAAATGAGAATTTTATTATCAAGTGACTTTTTTCCATAATTAGGGAAAATAACCAATTCTGATATAGTTTGTAGCTTATAAAACAAATTAATTTTATGTTCATGTAGTCAAATTATTGATCTCTGTGCTTCAGTTTCATCTATGAAATGGGGAACTAGTTTACGTTTCACAGGATTGTCATGAGGATTGTGTTAATACATATGAAGTGCTATTTTATGCTAATTAAATAAATAGTTCCTCACTAGTAAGGTTAAAAATGCTTAATTCTGCCAGGTAAAGTCGTGTATACCTCTAACCCAGTAACTTGAGAGGCTGAGATGGCAAGTTAGAGGACAGACTCAGCAACAAAGCAAGATCCTATCTCAAAATTAAAAAATAAAAATAAAAATAAAAAGGGTTGAAACTGTAGCCTAGTGGTAGGGAATCCCTGGATTCAATCCTTAGTACCCCACCCCCCAACAGAAACCATCTTCATTCTTTTGATACCAATGCTTTCTCTATATTCTAAAAATTATAGAACCAGAATTAAGAGAATTACTTGAGGTGTATTCTGCAAAGCCATCTTCTCCCAGCTCCAGAATCATTCGCTGTTTCCACCTCTCCAAATAGAAAACCTGTTGTGATGTCATGGTCTGCTGAAGTACCCGGGTCACACTTGGTATCATATTCCTTTGCAAAGGGATTTTCAAAGGCATTGAAGAATCATTTGGATCAGAAGTGTCATTTCTCTCTGGATTGAAGATGGGAAACCAGTTTCGTGGGACTCTTGCCCCCTTATCTTGCTTTGAGAGTTTATGTTTACTCACGGGTCCATATAGTAAACAATCTTCCTCAAACAATGATTCTGGAGTCTGGGCAAGGCCTCTGAATGACAAAACAGACCTTACTAAACTAGAGTATTTTGTTTGGTCCACTTCTTCATAAGGGTTTTTTTTCTTCCGGCCACATGAATAAAGGGAAGTGGAGAAATTCACAAGGGGAGCTGGCTCTACAGAAAACCCCTTTACACTTCTGAGATGCCTGCAAATGGTCTGAAATGCCTTCATCTTTAGATTTTTTTTTCACTTCTATCTCTGCAATGTCGAGAACCTTTTTTATTTTGTATTCCTATTAAAAAGAAAAGTGGTGTTAGATACCAGACCTATAACATATTTGAACCACCAGTGAAAGCTGCATCGGAATCACGTTGCATATCTAACTGTATTTAGTAAACCTTTTCGACGTGTTTGCAGAAAGCTATTTCCCATGAAAGAATCAATCCCAGAAAGGCTAGCACTTATTAAATGCCAACTAGTAGATAGTTTGGGCAAGACGCCCCTAATCTGAAGAGATGCGACGCTCAGGAAGGAAGGTTTTCCTGGGAGACCGCAAAACAGAACGATGGAAAGCGTCCTGCAAAAGCCGCGAGTCGTAGTTATGGATCTCTAAATATCAGGTTTTTTGTTAAATATTCTGTACGGATATTTCTTATTTAATCCTCACACCCTCTAAAGTGGGCATTATAGTGATGCCGTTTTACGGACGTGAAATTCGAACTTCTGAAAGGTGGCCTTGTTACAGGTCGGTGCTAGTAAGCCGCGGTCAGCAGGGCCCACCGACCTATCCGGACAACGTGGTCTCCCGCTCCACCGCAGGTGCAGACCCACGGCGGGGACAGAGCGGCTGTGGGCCGTGTGGGGAGAATGTGGCTCAGGGAAGAGTTACAACTGAAACAGAACGTCAGCTTACAGCAGGGTTAGTACCTTGGACGCCACCACGCTTTGTTAACTCCCAGGGCGCCAACACCTTCTCGGGAATCCTACTTTTATCAGTCCCGCGCTTTGGCCTGGAGTCAAGCCCCGCCCCAGGCAAGACAGCCCCGTCATGCACTGCGGCGCTCACGCCCCACCTCCTGCCCTTTCTCAAGCCTCCATAGGCAAGCAACCCATAGGGAGTCCCACCCCTCGTGCTGAAGCGCGGGCAACTCCAAATCTCGTACTTTCTCTCTCACGAGATCTTGCATACGTCACTTCTCGTCGCCATCTTGGACTCGGGCTGAGCAATAAATTGCTTGGTACAGGTTCGTGATCTCTCTGTCGAAGCGTGCCTCGCAGGAAGAGGGTCAGTGGCTCCGCTCCGCATCGCAGTCCTCGGGTCAGCGGTCTCCGCGTGGTGCGGAGCGAGGGTAGGCCCCGCATTACTTCTTTGCCCGGCTCCAAGATGGACGGCAGCCGGGACGGGGAGGCCGCTCTAGGGGAGCACGTGGCGTGCCGTTTGCCTGCTCCCGGGGCTGCTGGGATGGTGGCGGAGTCCCAAGGCCTCCTGCCGCCGTCGGGCAGGGAGGCCAGCGGAGGCGGGGCCGCGGTCGCCCCTGAGAGGCGCCCCGGCGGTGGTGGCCCAGCCTCTTCTTTCCTCGCACAGCCAGGCGGCCCCTGCTCTAGGCCCGCGTCGCCATGGCCGCGGTTCCCGAGTTGCTGCAGCAGCAGGAGGAGGACCGTAACAAGGTGAGGTCCTCCCCTCAGTCTCCAGGACGGGAGGCCCAGTCGACTTCCCGGAGCCTTGTTCCTTTCTCCACCCTCTCCCAGGGGCCTGGCTGCTCTTGGACCCCAACCCTCCCTCCCAGTACCGTAACACCTGCGAGATCTGGTGCCCCTTTTCTGCTCTGTTCCATCTGAAGACTGCTCGGGGTCATCCCGGTGACCCCCGATTCTCCCATTGGGGCGAGGACCACGCATGCTGGAAGGACCTTACTTAGGAACCACGCCTCTACTGCCTGATACCGATACTGAGTAGTCTCTTGGCCAGTCTCCTTGACTGATTCTCGAAAACCCCAGAATGTGTTTTAATATTAGAAGTTCATAAAACTTCCGTTGGTTTCCATTGGTGACTGGAAGGTGGACGTGAAATTTACTCATTATGAAACAAAAGTCAGTGGTTTGTAGTCTCCAAACTGGCGCCTCTCCCAACCCACTTTAAGAAAAGGGTCTTTTTGGCCCAAACAACTGGGGAAATTCAAATCTGTAGCATGTTCCTTGCAACTTCGTAAACGCTAAATGCGTCCTCGTGGGAGTTGTGTAATTTTTAGTAGGTCTGAAATGTTTACTGAGCTGCGCTTTTATTTTTAAATTCTGTGTATTTATGTAAGCCCCAGGCGCGTTTCTTGAAGTCCAAAAGATTGCAAATGCCATAAACTGAGGTTACTATAGCCAATTAAAGATTTAGAGGTGAGTCTCCACTCTTTATTGGTCCTTTAAGTTTGAATTGTTCGGAGCCGCTATCTTAAATGCAGAATCATCATGTAGTTTTCTTGACAGAAAGTTTTAAAAAGGAAATATAAAACAAATAGGCGCTCTCAAATTTAAGAATTTTGGATCCATGTTAAAAATAGCTCTTTGGAACTCACAGGCATCTTTGGAGAAAGTATTCTTCTAGTAAGTAAATACTGAAGTTGCAGGCTGAGCAACTGGACTGTTGGAACAAGGGCGCCATTGTATTAGTTATTGAAACAGAGCTTTGTACACGGGAGGGGCTTGATTTTTTTAAGTTGAAAGAGGTTCATTTAAGTCAAAGTAAGAACTTGAAGTTAGTTTGAGTATTCTGGTTATTTTTCTCTTCAAAATGTAGATTTTGGATAGAAGTTTTTATAGCCATTTGTTTTTCTTATTTTCTTTGGTGGGGGGTACCAGGGATTGGAACTAGGGGCGCTTGAATCATAGCAGCTCAGGAGGCTGAGGCAGGAGGATTTGAAGTTCAAAGCCAGCCTCAGCAACCTAGCCATACCTTGTCCCAAAACAGCAACAACAAAAAAGATTTGATTTCTTTAGCTCACCTTATTTATTTAAATTGGTTTTTAAAATGACTTCCCCACCACCCTGATCCTCCATCAAAATTGGAAGAGGGTTATGAACACTATCAACTGCCTCTTGGTTTTAGTAGTTCCAGGAACTTGATCTATCATTAGCGAAGATATTTTTTTGGAAACTATGGGTTCTTTACCACTGAGCTACCTTTTTACTTTTAAGACAGGGTCACACTAAGTTGGTGAGACTGGCTTTGGTGTCCCTGGGATCCTTCTGACAAAGTTACAGAAATCAATTACCCTTCATTTTGCTGCCTGATCTGTGCTGATAACTAGTATTGTGCTGTGGTGGATCAGGTCTAGATAGTTTTACAATTTATCCAACGGGGAGTCTTGGGTAAAATCTTGATTAAAAAAACAGTTTTAGCCTGGCACGGTGGCACACCAGCTGTTCCAGAGGCTGAAACAGGAGGATCACTATTTCAAAGCCAGTCTCAGCAAGGGGAGGCATTAAGCAACCCAGTGAGACCCTGTCTCTAAATAAAATACTGCTGGGTAATGTAGCTCAGTGGCCAAGTACCCCTGGGTTTAGTCCCTGGTGCAACCCGCACCACCACCAAAAAAAAAAGTTTTATAGTTTGTTAGTCAACTGAAATATTTGGGGAGGGGGATGGTACTTGGAATTGAGTCTAGGGTTGCTTTATCACTGAGGTAACATCCCTACTTAGTTCTTTTTTTAGATTTTGAGACAGTCTTGCTGACTTGCCCAGTCAGGCCTAAAACTTAAAATCCTCCTGCCTCAGCTTCCCAATATGCTGGAATTACAGGTGTATGTGCCTGCATCACACAGAAACATTTACATGTTAGCTTAATGTTTAGATGTTATTTGCTTTAGTTTGCAATTTCCACAAGGGTGGAATTCATGGATTTGCATAGACCCTACCACCCTATGGGGTTAAAACAAAAGTAGAGGGTAAAATTGATTATTGAGGATTTTGAATGCTAGTACATACTCATTTTGGCAAAGTGAGCAAAACTAAAAGTATTGAGCTGTGTCTGGTAGCTGAACACTCCAGTATTTGTAATATCCTTATGCCTAATGTGTTTGCTTGTTCCTCAGAAATCAGAGTTCAGGGGAAAAGTTGCATGGTTAATTTGGTCTTTCCCATTAGTGTAAGGGCAAATGTTAACATTTAACAGCATTTTTTTGTGGGTGATAGAGTCTCTTTGGTTCTGAAAAGCTTCAGATTTCTCTCCTTTATTGTGAGTGGACTGAAGTAAGCTGAACATTTGGAAAGGAAAAGCTGTCTAAGATTGAAAGCTGGTCTTGATTTGGAAACTTTTAGGGGTGAGGGCCCTTAAGCTAGGATGGAGAAATGTCCTGCAGGGCCATTCCTGAATTTTGACCAGCTTTATAAGTCCAAATTTACCAATTTCTGTGGTCTAATGTTTTTTGCTACACTCATGACTATTTTTTCCAGGAAGTATGACTTATCAAAGCTGCCCACGCCCTAGTTCTGGATCAGTAACTTGCACACAGTGTCTTAAGGTCCCCATTTGTGAATACTATTTTGACAATTTATGATGATCTCCTATTTTTTGGTTACAGGAAGAAATGACCAAGAGGTTATTTGAGAATTTTCTAGATTTGACTTTTTTCTGAGATCTGAATTCTCATTTGGTAAGACCTAGTAAGTGACAACATCTAATCTAGAAGTTTACTTTAAGCCAGGATTTTTTTCCAACTTGAGCACTGTTGACATTTTGTTTTGGGAACTTGTCTTGTACATACATAGTAGGTTGTTGAACAACATTATCAGCCTCTCCTAGGTAACAGCAGCCTCCTCTCCTTCATTCTGATAGTCAGAAATATCTGTAGTCTTTGTCAAATGTCTTTTGAGGCCCAGTAGATTCACCCTTGATTGAAAATCTCTGTTTAAACTGACTCTAAAATGATGTGCTAATGGCTGGAGTAAAGTTGTTTTATAGATGCTAATCTTAGTTGGCTAGTTTGATGCAAGTTTATGATTGTGTAAGGAAGTAACATAAAACTTAGATAATTGATTTGATATCTTTGGTAGCTTTTCCACTAACATTGAAGAACTTTGTTGAAAAATGTTAAATGGTTGTCTTCAGCATGTTCTGGGGGCACTTAAAGGTTATAAAGGGGCAGCTTTGTATATGTTATGTTTGTGAATGAAGTCCTGGGTTTGGACATTGTAAACCTTGGGTTCTTGTGCCATAACACCTGTAAAAGCTCTGTGGGCAAAAATTGAAGCTCACTGAGTAATGTGCTGTGGTGAGATGATTTTAAATTCTACTGTTTATTTAATTTTGCTTGCTATCTTTACTACCAGGGCTTTGTTGCTTGAGCAAATTAAGAACAGTATATAGATTAGAAATCTGAATATCTCAAATAGCCAGTGGTCAAAGAAGTATGCAGCAAAAGTTAGTATTTAAGGAAACTTGTAAACTTGATACCCATATTTTTAGAAGACTTTCAGAACTTTGTAAGTTCTGCTTTTTCTTTTTGAAACAGGAAAAGAAGATGGCTGTAGGACATCATGTGTCATGAATGTGGTAAACTTATTTAAGTACCATAATAATTAAAGTCTCTGGGTTGGGGATGTGGTTGACTGGTAGAGCACTTGCCTAGCATTCCTGGGTTTGTTCCCCTGCACCAAAAAAAAAGAAGTTTCTCTGATGTAGCTTTTCAGAAAAAGCACTCTCTCAGCCTCCAACCTATTTCTGATCAGGTGATACGTTACTCCTAAGATAGCTGTCTTAATTCTAAAAGAGGGACATGGGCTTTGGTGTTTTTTTTTTTTTTTTTTTTTAATTTGTTTTTTGGTACTAGGGATTGAATCCAGAGTGCTCTACTGAGCTACATTCCCTTTTGCTTGATTGCTTTTTTTTATGTGTGTATTTGGACATGGGGTTTTGCTGAGTTGCTGAGGCTGGCTTTGAACTTGAGGTCCTTCTACCTCAGTCTTCTTCTGGGCAGTGAGATTACAGGTGTGTACCACCGTGCCCAGCTCTTTATTTTGAGATAGGTTCTCATGAAGTTGCTAGGCTTGATAGGTTCTCATGAAGTTGCCTCATTCTCTGGAATTGCTGGAATTATAGGCATGCATCACTTTGCACTGGCATTTGTTGAGCTTTTTAAGGAAAACCCCAAAGGCAAATCATAAATATGCAAATTTTGGGTGGAGGTGAAGGGCTTTAGCTCTGAATGAAAGAAATATTTTTTTTCAACTATGGGAGCTTTTTCTCTTGCAGTGTTGTGGTTGTTTCCCAGTAGGATTTTTGTGCCAAGAGATACTTGCAGATCATATGGTTCACCCAACCCTTTTTGCTTTGTGAACTCATTTGAAGATAGTCCAGATAGCAACTAATTAGATGGATTTCTAGATATGAACTTAAAGCAATTCAGTGGAATCTCTTTTCTATTTCTATGTTCAGATTTGACTACTGAATGGACTGCAGCCTTGTGAAATGATGATTCGGTTTATCCATTCGCTGAGTGTGCTGCATTGACCTTCTTCCAAGCCTTAGTTCCTGTTCTAGGAACTTTGGTGCTATGTAGCTTCCAAATGCCCTGCAGTCTGCAATGTTCTATTGCAGATTGCTTGTGTGTTGGTAGCCTACTGGTAAGAGTGGTTGATGTCAGCAGGGATGGGTCCCTCTGGGTCCTATCTCACCAAGATGAGTGGTGCAAATCTGATCACTTGCTGCAGCCCTTCCAGGTTTTTGTTAAGCCTGTGCCTAAGTAATTTTCATGTTATTAGTAGCCTGAGATCTAGAAGTCCTAAGTTCTCTTTAAAAAAGAATTATACACATTTAGTTGTTGATAGACCTTTATTTTATTCACTTATTTATATATGGTGCTGAGAGTTGAACTCAGTGCCCCTCAGATGTGAGGCAAGTGCTGTACCA